GGCTCTGGAGCAGCCCCCTGCCCTGCCCTGCCGTGCACCCTGCCAGTGGGCTGGGGCCGGTCTCCGTGGCAACCACAGCCTTGCACTATCACAGCACAGCTGCAGCTGGGATCGCCATGGAGACTGGCCCCAGCCATGCGGGCAGCAGCTGTTGGGAAATGGAATCCAGCTGCTGGCCAGATCCTCCATTTTGCCCACCCCTGTACTAAAGGCTAACGAAAGATCACCCTGGAGAACACGTTTAAAAATGCTTAAGTGACTTCTGAACCGTACCTAAGCCCATTTTCAACATAGATCTAGGAGTTAAGTCACTTTTCAACATGGGACTTGAACACCTTTGAAAGTTTGATGCCATATATTGCCAACATGTTAGAAAAGCTGTGATTGGTAATACTCTCTTTGAAAACCTGCACACAATTATTTTAAGCCAATGAGTTCATGCTTTCAAACAGGTGATGTGTGTGTCAAAAAAAGCTGCCCTACTCAACGGGATGATTTAAGGCCAGAGTCCAATTCCTTCCCTCATATGGTACAGAACCTTACTGAGCTGGAAATCCCATGGAAGTCAACACGACGTTTCATGGAGTAACACTGGTCAAAATGAATAAGATTACCATGATTTAGCTCTTCGTGATCCAAAATACCAAAGACCTGATTTGCGAGCAGCAGCAATTTTGGGGGGGGTGACCTTTTTTACTGGACCAATGGCATAGGTCACCTGAGGGAGTGGTACCTTGAACCTGAAATCTTGTCTAAAATTTCTACCAACTATGCAGCTGGTCAAATAAAAGATTATCACCTCAAAAACCCTTGCTTCTTGAATATTTATGGGACTAATCAGAGCTACAATATCACTCCAATAATACCATGACAAAATGTTGATTTGTAATCTTAATTTAAGCCAGAGATGTAGAAATGGAAGCCCCAGGTCTTAATAATAAATCAGTACTCACTGCAGAGCCATTCGGGAACTCCCTTGCTTTCCCTTCTCTCAAGTTATTAGTAGTTACCAGCTTTAGTTTTCTCTCTCATAAGTACCCCAATCTACGGACATAAATGTGTAAATAAAGGACTGTTTTTATTAAAATCAGCAGTGCCAATGTCTTTAAAATGTGTTCATTAAAAATAATTTCCCGTTTCACCTCATGGGATGGCTTCATTAAGTTACCAATATCAATGATTGCACTATAACATTGGGGCCCAATAAGAGATTTTTGTAAAAGGAAATGCTTGAGGCTACAGCCTTTTCTCTCCTATTCTATGGAACACCAGATTTTGGATCTTTACAAAAGCTTTAATTAATATACCATCCACACATCTACACATTTCCAACAGCCTGTGTAAACATTAATAATATATTCAACATAATAACAACCACAAAAAAAAGTATTGTTTAGATAAATTTATTTGTACATAGGGGATTAAAGACTTTCCCATAAAATTTTACCAGAAATAAGTTCTTAATTTTTGAGGAGACAAAGAAATAGGTATGTGGCGTTGCATATCTATATAAACATTCTACACAATGCCACATGCCTCTTTCTTTGTCATATATATAACTGATTTGAGGCAATTATATAACAAGTACTACGTGATCTAGGCAATTGATATTACTGATAAAGAATCACTTGTACATGAACAGATAAACCACAAAATTATTATATGCAGCTGGCATTTTGTGTGATGACTGAAATGACAGCATGGAGTACTTCCTGAACTAAAATATTCTGTAAATTCCTATAAATAAAGTTTGATTTGAAAAAATAATAGGAAAAAAGCTAGACAATAAAAGGCATTTTACTTAAGAACTGAATATTAAGGCAAACCAACCTCATGAGTACTTTACACAAAGACCCTCTCATAACACTGAAGACTTCTCAGATTCCAACAGAGGGTTAAAACAAAAATGTTCACTGATGATGAAAATTTCAGTAAACTTAAAAGAGTCCACGACTATTTTTTTTTTTTTTTACAAGTTTGTTTAGGACTAGCTACAAATCAGAAGAGAAATTCACAGTACATTTGGGCACTATTGTGCAGGAATACGCCTCAATAGATGCTATATATCGTACGCATTGCTGAATACTAGGAAGCAGTTAAATGGGCTGTATTCTTAAAGCTACATTTTAGTGTATAACGTGGATGTCAGATATTTTAAATAAAAATATATCTTAATGTTTAAGTATTTAGTAAACTGCAGGAATAATAAAAGGTTTTACATTTAACATTATCTCCAAGGCGAGTAATATTTTCAATTATAACAAACAAACAAAGTTTTAGGCCAGGTATTAAGAAGGCACCCATTATACTTGTTTGACACTTGTCTCAACATATCTACACAAATATATTTAAACAATGAGAAATTAAAATACAAATTACAAACATTTTACACAGAAAGATACAAGTACAGAATGTAACAGTAAGTTCAGTTATATTGGTTACATTTGAAAAGTTTAAAACTTTACAGACTAGCATAACTGATGCGTATTATTAATACTAAACACTTCATACATGTTACATAAATTCACAAAAGTAAATTTCATAACAAATCGGTGTCTCACTTAGCAAACCCCAAACTAAAATGCAACCAAAAGAAGCATATTTGGTTCTGTTCGCTTTCATCATGGACTACCATTTTCAAAACACTAGAAAATTAAGGCTTGATTTTTGCTTTGAGGAACAAGATGAAGTATGGGATTTGGCCATACTGACATAAATTGTAAGGCTAAACGGATCAGTCAATTCAGTGTTATGGTCTAAAATACAATTTATCGTGCATATCTTTCCAAAAAGCTCAAATGCTATTTGCGATTCATTATTGCATTATTATGCCAGGAAAGTATTGCAACCATTTTCTTAATTATGTGGATGAATTGCTTAAAATCTTTTTTAAAACACAGCAAATTAATATCAATAATACAAAATTGAACAGCAAGCTTCACAGTGATGTGTGAAATCCAGGCCTTTTTTAAAATTCTACGTTAATGCAACTTGCTGCAGTGTTGTTGAGCAAAACTTTCCAAATCATCTTCTGGAGAGACTTTAAAAAACAGTTTATATTTTATAGTCACTATAAAAAGGAGCCATTTCAGTTCCTTTTCATAAGCTTTCTGGAACCTGGATTTTTCTCAATGAAAAACAGTTGTATAATATCATCCTTAAGTGGAAACTGAGTTTGAAAATAAAATAATGCAGTACTTGCACAGGGGAAGATATTTCTCTTTAAAAACTAGATACAGAAAGATGATTGAACAGCTAATGTTGTAGTTAAAGTTATGGCTAGCAACTCATTAAAAGTGTTCAAAAATCAATTATTTGCCTAATAAAAAGAGAACACAAATGTGCTACCAACATTCTTAATTAGATTTATATTAGCAATTGAAGAGTAAAGACAAATATAGAACTATTTAGTGTTTTGTTAATTAAATTGTGTTCATAACACTATGAAATCAAAAGCAGATTTCTCAAATAACTTTACTTTTAAAATGGTTAAAAACAGGGTTCATGCTCACAAACGCATGCAGTTTAGAATTAAAATCCAAACCCACATCCCATAAACAGACCAATTCTCCAATAGTGTTAAACATTAAGGGCCACTGAGTTTTCATTTTTAAATTTCTAATGATAGCTCATCATGGTAACTTGGTGTAAAACATCCCTTACACAAAACTACAGTATTTGGTTTTAGTGTAGCTGTGATTTAGAGTGTCTGAAGATTCATAATTCCTGGAATATGCTTGCTATGAGAACGTGGTTGCTAGGATAATTCCAAGGATCACAAGCAAGACAGTTACACAAATAATTATGTACATCTTTTTCTGGAAAAAAAACAGAAAAATTTAGATTAAGGCACCATATCAGAATTCCAATCTACTTTGTAACCACATATGCGTATTCTGTATCTATCACAGACAGAATATGGATGAATATTGATGTGTGACTCAATTTTTTTTAGAGCGAACCCAATACTGACTTTATTTACCTAATACTTGTCCATTTATTTTGTGGAACACCTATAATTAAAAGAAGAGCAAATTCTGTCAATACATTAGAATTCACTAAATATGAAAGCTGAGAATGAAGACAAAAATATACATTTATAACACGAAAATTGGAAAAATGCTTATGTTAACCTTTTTCGGTAGATACTTGTGTTTTATAGCTTTAAGAATGCACAGAGTATTAAGTAGCATGCAGTAAAAGTCAGTAAAACCAATTATATACTAGATCACAAGAGTTACAGCTAAATGGTAGGGCTGTGCAAAGCAGGCCCTATTCGATTCAGATTTGGCCTGAATCTGGGACAGTGATTCAATTCATTGATTCAGATCACTGTCACTGATTTGACTTGACCAAATCTGAAGATTCGATGCTGATTCAGCAAATCAGTGATTCGGCCATAGACAGCTCTAAATGTTTTTTCTACATACCTTGAGGTACCAGGGCGGCTTGTGAATGCTGCGATGGTGGGCTGGATAGAGCGTCCCACAGGAGCGCAAGGGCCCCGTGCCCTTTCCGGGTGCCCCCCCAGACCCAGGAGGTATCAGTTGCTGAGCTGGAGGGTGGGGGGACACGCCCCCCCCACCCCATGTGCTCTCTGGCAGAGCAGTACTTCTGGTCCACTTCCAGGTCTGCTGCCGAGTGGACTTAGGAGTCCCCCGCGCTCCTGTGGGACACTTCATGTGCCCCACCATCGCAGCATTCACAAACTGCCTGCTACATAGAGGTACATAGAAAAAATATTTAAAGCTGTGTCTGTGTCCAAATCTCTGAATCTTTCTGAATCTCTCCAAATCAATTTGGAGGGCTCCAATTCAATTCAGAGCGATTAAAGGTCCTCTGATTTGATTTGGATTCAGCGATTAGGCCACTGAATTGTGGCAAATCTCCACCAAATCAAATCGGGGACCAAAGCTTCACACAGCCCTACTAAATGGGCTACATAGAGTATAATATATCACAAACTCCAATGCACGGTTAGCTATCTTAGATTCTATGTAGTTTAGTACATTTAGTAATTTCTAATTAAACTGAAGTCAATAACAACAAAAACAAACATTCCAATGTTAAAAAGTGTTAGTTTAATTAACTTCATGTCCTAAAATTAGAAAGTGAATGATTTTGCTCAAAGTTTAACAGGACGTGGCGCTGCTACGTGGACAGCAATAATTTATTCTACTAATACAGCAAAAAGCTGTTTTAAAAGTTTTAGAAGAAACTGCCTTGTCTGATCTCTAAAGTAATCTCTTAGGAAGATTCCTATTTTAGCTGTTCTCATCTCATACAAGAGCTGGTTAAAAATATTGTTTCAAACTGGAAAATGTAAGGATGATCTGTGCTGTACAATAGAGGCACACAGAAAAATGTAGCATGGGTCTGTGTTGAAAATTCTGTTTAAACATATAAAAAAAAGATCTGAAAAAAAGTTATATGCCAATGAAGGTGCAGACCAATGTTGGTCCCACTGATGTTAAATGTTCAGGTACCTCATGTGATCTCCCAGCTGAGTAATTTACCACTAGATGTCACAGTTTTCATTATTCACAAGATGCCCACTTGTGAAAACACATAAGAGCTTTTACAGGAACTTATGATGAATCAGATCTAGTAATTCATCCACATTTGTGTGGTCATTATACTATACTATATAGGTATTAAAAGCCAGTATAATAAAGTGCCTTTGCTTAGTGAGTTGCCAATGCTGAACAAAAGCAAAAGCAAAATTAGTGGATTAGTTACTTACTGCCAAGCTGGCAGAGAGGCATGCATGCTGAAGTTATCCAACCATCACCGACCAACTGATAAACCAATAATCAGAGCAATTATTGCAAGCAAGACCAGTGATACAATGACAATTATCCATTTTTTCTGTCAAAGAAAAGGTTAAAATAGAATTATTAATTTCAGAAAATGCGACTTTAAGCAAAACAGTGTTAAGCAAATCCAGTTACATCACAGTAATTATTTAGTAGCAGGCAGCAGCCAAACAACGTTATAACCGAACATTGCGCAACTTTAAACAAGTATATCCTCTAATAGATCAGTGGCGTAATAACAAAACAACGTTAACCGAGACGATGATAAGTGGGGAGTACCTGTACTGCTATAAACTTAATTAGTTCCCAAAAAATTCTGAGATGACGTAGTAAATGAATAAAGGGAGTTATGGAGGATATTTACTTGCATTACAATTTAAATACTCTCTAGGGGTTTATACTTTCTATATGTTCAATTTATTGTGATGGCAAAAGAACACTAAGGACACATCCAGATGAGCATGCACATGCAGTCTGTGGCACCTCAAAACTGTCTGAGGTGCTGCAAACTGCATGTGGCACATGTGCACCCACTCACTGCATTGCTAATTTGCAATGTGGCACCAAAATTTGACACCAGGAGATCCCAGTGTCAAAAACAAAAAATGCTGCAAAAAAACAGCACAGGGCATAGTTGCTGGTCCCAGCCTCCCCCACCCCCATCCAGGATACCCTGCTGCGTGCCAGAGGCTGCATGGTACAGGTGGGACAAGGTGGGCTGCAGCTTCTTGAGCCCAGGGAAACAAATGTCCACGCTTGTGTGGACACAGCCTAAGAGTCTTTATTTAGTGTGTGGATCACTATCTGTTCTCCTTACACAGAAGCAATATCCAAAATACTACTAAAAGAATATTCAGAACAGATTCAGGAAGTTGTATCCTGTAATAAGTGAGTATGAAATAGATGGGAAAGCAGTGACCATGAAGAACTTAGATAAAAATTTTTTAGTCCAGTTTAATTTAAATTTAATCCTCTACAGTAACTCTAAAGCAAGCAAAGCAGCATCGCTTTCATGCCAAGCCTTACAAGAAAGAAACAAGCAAATTAAATTACAGCATATAGAAGAACAGAATAAAAAGGTTTTTTTTGTATTGTGCCATACTAGTAAAATTCTTAATATAGCTATAGGAAAACATACCCTTCGTGCTTTACTTTGATATTTAGCCGCTATTTTCGTCTTGTCTTTAGCACTCTCTACATAGTTTGATGCATTCATCACATTCTTTTCTATGTTGTTGATCATTTCTCCCTTAAAATACAGTTTTTAAGAGGCGTTATCACCAATAGCAACATCATAAAAACCAGTATGCTGGACCTGAAGACAGCCACGTAAATGTAACATTTTTAAAAAGGGAAGGAATTATTTGTGTAATGTATTAATGGGTGACATTTTTTGCATCCATATGTAATGGGAAAAAAGGGAACAAGAAGCAAGGTCTCTTAGAAAATTTTAGATGGGTGGGGGAAACAACAGGGCAGACAGGAATAAAATACTGATAATTTAAAGCATATCCTAAGAACAAGGTATGCTTTAACAGATAGTCTGGAACTGGCATACTAAAGAGGTCAGAAATGTCTGAACACGTTTTTGGAAGCCGCAAGAAGATATACTTAGACATACCCCAAATTAGTCATAGTTTTTAAGGACAAAGATTCCTCACAACTGACAGCTTAGAATGCCAGTTCAGAATAAATTTTAGCTTAGCTGCGACGAATGAACTTTGGGAGTGAAATGCAAGGTTGCTGATGCATTACAACAGATCTGTTACCAGTGTTTCTGTCCATCAGAAGTCATAATCAGCAGCAGTGAACAGCAAAGTATTAAAGAATGATGCACAAGTAAAGTTTGTTCATTTCCACACATTTACAATCTACTAGCAGTTTTCACAATTGTTCATTGTGTATTAAAGCTACACGTACAATAAAGTATGAACTCCTTCATAAAGATCTCTTAAATGAAGATTGATTACAGTACTACCTACTGAATTATCATGCACTGTAATGTACATTTTATTTTCACAGCAAAAAAGATCAACTAATCCTAAAAACCTGGGTTAGTATGGTCAACCGAACAAGTCTCATGAAGACTGAAAACAGAGTAATTGCTTAACCCCCAGTATCTTTTCTTTCTACCTCTAACCACATAATGATCATGAAATTGAGCAGCTGCAGTCACTGCTCTTCCACTGTATTCCTATTAACATTAAGTTATATGGAAGTATGGGTACACATTGTGCAAGTCTTCTTTATGCTTCTCTGCAAATTCAAGTCCAGCACATTCTAGTCTCTTGCCATGCCTAACAAATCCTGCTGCTTGGTTTTAAAAATATAAATTGTTGCTGTGGCACAGTCAGACCAATTATTCTTACTTACTATTCAAATCTAAATCTAGGTCAATGTATTTATCCAACATATTATCTAGTCCTGACTAGAACATTAGACTGTATAACTAAAATCAGTTTTATCTTTGGGATTTATACTTTTAAATGCACACAGACATACATACTGCAAAATGCTTATCCAGTAACATCTGGCAATTTTTTTGTATGTGATGGATTACATGATTATCCCAAATAGATGTGATCAAATGATACTTTTCAGCTTTAAATCTATTAATGTCAATATTCAGCAGCTTTTCTTTAGTTTCACAGGTTGCGATAAGAGAATTCAAACAACAGATAATAGCTATAAAAAGGCTGCAAGTGGCAAGACTAAGATTTGAAGGAATGCAACTGTTTTTGCACATTTTTAAACAGGAAAACTTAAAAAATCCTCAATTACTCAAAATGAAGAGTATATTTAAATTGGTTCAGTTACCTGAGTCTCAACAAACATTGCCATGTCTATAAACATGTCATGTAGTTCCCGTATACTGGATTCCAGTTTCATAATATCTTTATGACGGGACTCAATTTCATTTAGAGCTTGTCTAGTAATCTGGGAGTCTAATATAATCTTTGGAAGGAGAAACAAAGAAACAGACAGACATGATTAATGTAATTGACATGGTCTTGAACAAAGGAAGAAGCAGAAATATATGATGGCCACAAATTGGGTTGTAAATACGTACATCAGAAGTGAAAATAGAAGGATTACCGCTTTCTAACATTTCTTCCAGTTCTTCATCAGTGGTGGTTTTTCCAGCTAGGAAGAAGGCATATTCTACTGTTAGGAAGTATTATTACTTTAACTACTATAATAAAATTATTTACTATAGCTAGGCTCATAATTTAAAAAGACAAGTATTTCTTATCATATGTAACAGTTAATAACAGACATTTGCCTCAGCTGTATTAACTTGTCACTTCTGTTAACTCGCATTGATTCATAGATTCATAGATTAAGGGTCGGAAGGGACCTAGTAGGTCTTCTAGCCCGACCCCCCGCCAGGGCGGGAGAACAACAAAAAACCCCAAAAAGAGAAACGGGACTCAAACGAGTCCAGCCAGGTAGGCATCCAGCCTCCTCTTAAAGACCCCCAGGGTAGGGGCCAGCACCACTTCCCTTGGAAGTTGGTTCCAGCTCCTAGCCGCCCTAACCGTGAAGTAGTTTTTTGCGGATGTCCAATCTATACCTCCTCTCCATCAGCTTGTGCCCATTACTCCTTGTTATGCCAGCGGGCGCTAGGGGAAATTGCTTTCCTACTGTTGCCATTGCCCATATTCTACTATAGTAAGTGTCTGATTTGTTACTCTAGTCTCACTGCTCTTTTCAACACCTCTCAAACATGTAGGCCCCCCCCCCAAGGGATAGAAAAAGTATGGGAAAAGAAGAAAAAACAGCAAATGCTCAACTAGATTACAAGAACAACAGTGATAATATTTGCTATTATTATTATAATATAGTATTATAAGCCTATTTTTGTCCTCGGGCTGCTTAGGGAACAGAAATGTTCATGTAAAAGCCCAGTCCTAAATACAGAAGTTAAAGGACTGAGGTCCTGCAGGCAATTTACGGTGCAAAGAGTTGGCTGATCATATGGACCCAGCTTCCTCCGTCCTGCTCTAGAATTGAAAGAAGTGGCCAGGAATCTGTACTTATCTCTTTCTGGAATTTGGCATTATTTACAAGAATTCAAAACAAAAGTTCACAAGATTCAGCCAAATCCTAGCCAATGAATTAAAATATATGTCCTGGTGCCTGCTGTAGCACAGGAAGGGACCAAGTAACCATAGAGGTCTTCTTCAGTCCTATGTTCCTTTCTCATTTTCCTTTCTCTGACTTCCTAGTCTGTTCTCTGGGGATTTTCTCAATTATACTTCAGGTCCTCTACAGAAAGCCACTCTGATTACCGTTATCCCCATGTGATACAATGACTCACCTACAACTGTGAGTCAGCAAAACACCCAGTCAGCAAAAAACTGTTGACTGAGAAGTTGTCAAGCAAACACAGAGCCCGTTACAAATTCATTAAAAAATGTCTAGTGTTACTTTTCCCTGCAAGCACTTGAAATAATACATGGTGGCTACAGAATGACAAGCTAGGAACCTGTGATATGCACAAGACTGACGATATTAACAGGCAATTCACAAAAACTTCTGTATTAAGGTGCATCCACAAAATGAAAAGGTATCATCTAATCTTCTGCTCTAAAGTTATTCAGAATAAGTGTTTAATTCTGGTGTAACTTGCCAGGTTTCTGGTTAAGCTGCAGAGAAAAAAGCTAGAACCAATTCCATTCATTGTAATGTGGAGAAATCAGCTTATTATGTTAAGAAAAAGTACCTTAAAAATAGAGCAATCCTTCACACAAGCGTAATCATTATGAAAGAAAAAAATTCAGCAAGTGATACTGGAGCCAGGGAATAACATGCAATATTCAATCAACCCGGAAAAATACAAGAACTGTGTTCCATTTAAATGATCCGCAAACAAATCATCTCGGTTCATAAGTTTAAATAAAACACAGTAAAGAATCCTTTGTCAGAGACACCCAAATAAAATCAAGTTTTAAAAACCCTGCAACCATATTAAGGCTTCTTTCATACCCTGCCTTGACTGAAACTAACTTCTAAGAATCCTCAACCACAGAGTCCAAGCTTTCATCTCAGCTAAGCAGAAAAACGGACAGGATGCGGCTTAATCAAACTATGACTTACACTCATCTAGGAACTACCTGCATACAAATTGTACAGTGCACGTCATCATTCTTTGCTTAACCGTTTTCACCTGTTTGAGTGCAACTGTTGGACCTCTGCACATAGACACCTCATCCTAACCCGCTTGTCTCTGTACTAAGTATTAGCAACTTCACAACTTCTGCTTTTTAACTGAATTGAAACCATGGAACAAATACCGGCACTGGACACAACTGCAGTGCAGGCATTAGACACTGGAAGAGCTGCCCACCCAAGCAAGAGCACAGATTGCTAACACTTCCATCCATGATGCCACACCACCTTTGAAATGGTTTGTAACAATAATGGCTTCAGAGCACATTGGCTGTACTTGCTGTATAATAAAGACGACAAACACAGGTGTCAAACTCATTTGAGGTGACAGGCTGGATCCAGAATGCGTGGCTTCTTTCAGGCCTGACCACTGACTTCCAGATCGAGTCCGTGTTCCTTCTCACCATGTCTGCCAGAGCTGCTGTGTCAGCACAATGAGCACATGGGGGGTTAATGTCACCACGGCCTGGCATTGCTAGTAGGGACCGCACACCAGACATTTGGTGACAGGGTGAGTGGTAGTGGTGACATTAAACTGCTGTGTGTTGGACCTGCCCACACAGCAGCCCCTTGTGGGCCAGATTCAGAAATGGGCTGCCTGGACTGGGAGAAACCACGAGGGTCAGATGACACCTCCATGGGATGCGTTTGACATTGAACTTGCTTTTAAGGGTATATTGAACTTGCACATAAATTTTTAACTTTGGAACTATCTGAAACAAGAGAGGAAGCTCTTGCATTAAGTGAGGGTAGTACAAAAAACTGCGATCTCTTTTAAAATGGTTTCTTGTAGGTCCCATAAACTGTTTTCTGAATTCCCCAGTTTAAAAAGCACTTTCTTATTTAACAAGTTAAGAAAACATTTTTTGTGGATTTGTTTCATTAGCTTGAACAATCCTAAACAGCGAGAGCAAGAAAAGCAACCAAACCAAACCCTCCTCCCACCCCCCAAAAAAACTGGTATCAAAAACTAAGGTTTAAGTTATGGGAAAGCAAAACCAGTAGATACATGGCAAGTTTTATTATTACTCCTATACAGTATAAAACAAAGGACTAACAACAGAAGACAATCTATTGAAAACCAAAAGCTTAAAATTTGAATTGAGGTTTTTAAGTGAGAAACAAAATTCAGGTCACTTACTTATTTCTAACTGTCGTTGTATCCGTCCTTTACTGCGCTCACGAAAAAGTGTCTGCGTCTCATTGTATTCTGTCATGACCTCTACAAACTTGCGGGACAATACTGTATGCTAATATTTGAAGAATAAAAAAAAAAAAAATGTATCTATATAATGCAACATTCTACAAACAAAATACAACTACAGAAAAATAACACAGCATGCAGGTTCCCAAAAATGTTGTTGCCCTTTTACAGATGACTGTCATACTTCTGGAGATTTTACTATTTTAATCCTTGCAGTTCACCTATGGGCATCCTACCTGTGTTTTTCGTATCCTGAGGTCCACTGAAGTTCTATTAGCATTCTCATCCTGTTCAAAACTTTGTTCAATTGCTAGGAACAAAATAAGAATTCATATTATAAAGGAGTTAGGGATATAACATACAGTATAACTATTATACTGATGCTACTGAATATAATTGCTGTTTTATGAATGTAAGTTAGTTTATAAATCTTACAGTTTATAACAGATAGAAACAGATAGTTTGTCCATAAAAAGATTCATCACATAATAAAAACTAAAACGTATTACTGATACAAAACACCAGGTGCAAAATTCAACTGCTTAAATATACAAATAAATTTCAGTAACCTTAGGGGCAATCAACATGGGTTCATTAGCGGCAGGTCCTGTCAGACCAACCTGG